AAGGGTTTGTCAAGGGTTTTGTCCGCTCCGTCTCAATCTCAGGGGTCCCTGAGTGAAGCCCCGAGCAGTTCTCCTCTTTTGTAACGGTGGTCCTTCATGGTGTCCTGTCCCCGCAGGGTCCCAGCAGCTGCTGCAGAACCAGGATCCCTCCAGGGATGCTCCACTCTCTGCCAGCCTCCCCAACCAGTGAAGGTATGGTCAGCTTTCCGCACCCTGCGATGCCTTTGCCACCAAATTTCTCAGCCCTAGCAAACCTCTGGCAGCTCTGCCCTGTCTGTGACCAGAGACAGAGAAAGCAACGTCCCCTCCGCACCCATCTGCCAGTGCATTAAGAAAATGAGAGCTGATTAAAGTCTGTCCCCTCCTGAGCACAGTTGATCGCCGGCAAATTGCTGACACAGCTTATTTAGTGGCATCGTCAGACAGGTGGACTTTCCTCTCTTCTCAGGCATCCAGACTTAGATGGGTTTGGGATCGCTCAGGTCTGCTCCTCTGAGCATTGGCTACGGTCAAAAGAAGTGGTTTAATTGCGCAGAATGAGTGTGTTAATCAGATTAATTTTTTGTTTGCCATCACCTGTTAAAAGGGTGGCTTAGGCAGTGCCTTTCCTTGCAGACCTTCTCCTCCACCGCACATGTGTGAGGATGCTGGGATGGGGAGGGATGGAGCTCAGAGGAAAGCGCTCCTGTGTGCCCACACCACCCTATCAACCCACATGGGCTGGAAGGCCCCCGCAGCACCAAAAACTCTCCCATTTCTCCAGGCAGGCAAGCTGGAAAGCCCCAGTTCCCTCCCATTAACCTCCACCTGCGTGCACTTTCCACCAGGCAGCCAAGCACAGTAAAACCGGGGAGATTTGCAAAATAAACAGCGATCAAACGCAAAGAGCTCGGCTCCCGCTCCGGAGGGTCTGCTCCTCTGAGCATTGGCTACGGTCAAAAGAAGTGGTTTAATTGCGCAGAATGAGTGTGTTAATCAGATTAATTTTTTGTTTGCCATCACCTGTTAAAAGGGTGGCTTAGGCAGTGCCTTTCCTTGCAGACCTTCTCCTCCACCGCACATGTGTGAGGATGCTGGGATGGGGAGGGATGGAGCTCAGAGGAAAGCGCTCCTGTGTGCCCACACCACCCTATCAACCCACATGGGCTGGAAGGCCCCCGCAGCACCAAAAACTCTCCCATTTCTCCAGGCAGGCAAGCTGGAAAGCCCCAGTTCCCTCCCATTAACCTCCACCTGCGTGCACTTTCCACCAGGCAGCCAAGCACAGTAAAACCGGGGAGATTTGCAAAATAAACAGCGATCAAACGCAAAGAGCTCGGCTCCCGCTCCGGAGGGTCTCTGCCAAGACACACAGATCGTATCAGGCTAATTTACAAAAGAAAAACCGCCCTAATTAGTGTTCAGGAACGCACTTTAATGAGAAGCGCGCTAGTGTAAAAACCGAGAGTGCCAGGAGGTCAAGTCGTTCCTCAACACCAGAAAAACAGGAAGGGAGACAGAGCCGATCTCTGCCAGCCCATGCTGCGGCACCATTTTTTCACCTTTTAAATAAGACTTCAAGTTATTAGCAAGGAATTTATAAAACCCGGAGCCTAACGCCCAGTGACCGGGCAGTGACGCTAGACACAGCGTGCTCCGAGCATCGCAGCGCCAGACCCTCACGCCGGGGAGGGTTTGGCAGCCCTCGCAGGCATCTCCCCTCCTTTTTGGGGCGCAGCGTAGGTTTTACGGCCGGAGTTTCCCCTTGTGAAGGGGAGACCAGAAGCCCTGTCAATGCTACGAGACAGCCGGCTGTGACGGCGGCTAGTAACCATGGCAGCAGAGAGATTTTCACATGATATTGGTATTTCTGCAGCACAAAAGAGCCTCTTATCTGGAATGAGCAGCTAGGCTGGCTGGTCTTCATTCCTCTGGTTATTGCTAAGACAGTGCGGCACGGCCTACATGATGCTGACCCTGGGGCAAATTTGGACCATCCACGAGGAGACCCATGGACCAAGGTTCCAGAACGCCAAAGGATGCTCCGGCAGGCGCCGCGGCAATGGTCCCGCTGCAGAGGCAGAGCCAGCCCACCACATCTGGACAGCTACAGCTGGAAAGGCAGCAGTGGCCGTCCCGGTGGGCTCAAGCTTGCAAAGCGAGCACCTGCAGAAAGCGTGAAGTACCTCAGGCCATGCCATCCCCTGGACATCGCAGCCCACAGCCACCCCGTAGCATCCCCACAACCTGATCCATCTCACTTCTCCAGTTATTTACATTTCACACCCATCCCCCCCCGATTCCTTCCAATTTATCCAAGAAAACAGTTTTTAGACTTTAACTGTTTGACTTCCAGCTCTTCTCACGCATCAAGCGACTTCTAAAAGCAGAGGAAACGCATGAAATAACGTAGGTATCTAGGCTCTAGTCCTTCAGATGACTCAAACCCAATCCATGGATATTGCTCAGATCCCCCAAAGACATTTGCCATAGGGCACGAACCAAAGCTGGAAAGTTTCATCCCAAAATAAGAACGGGTAAATGAGAAAAGAATGAGAAAAGGGAAAATGTGATCCAGCCCAAGCTAAGCCTAAGCTGCTGTTCATCAACGCTGGCGAGGGCACCCGCCGGCATGCATACCTCCGTGTCAGCCCTTCCCACAAGGCGGTCTGGGGTTTTTTTCAGGGCGTTAACTCCAGTGGGACCATCACTGCCCTGCAAAGGAGCTGCGTGCTCAGGGCAGAGAAAACCTGACTCCTGCCAGCTCAATTTGAGGGAGGCAAAAAGGGATTTAGGGGGGTTTAATTGCAACCACGACTCAAAGCAGATCTACGCAATGGAAAAAAAATATATATAAGCAGAAAAAGTGGTTTACAGACTGTTCCCAGAGTTAAGAGCATGTCCTGCTGGTTAAGGCCTCCAGGTTTCAAGGTTAAAGTGCTTAATTTTATTTCAAGCTTTCTAATTAAACACTACTTAACTCTGCTTTCCATTTATCCTGCAATATCTTTCTAGACCTGAGTCTAATCCCCAAACCTGCTTCTTTGTTTTTACTTTCATTGTAACCTGCAGTTGCGCTTCATCTTTTTAAAAGATTGCTCCGACTATAAATACAGAGAAACTACCCGCCCCGTTTCTATCCAGAGGAACACCACTTCCTCCAGCCAGATGCTGATGGTGGGTTGTATTATGCCTTTTGAAAATTTTGTTTGTTTGTTTGTTTTTCAGAGCCATTTGTCTTCTCTAAGATGTAACAGCACAGGCCACAAGGAATACTAATACACCTCCAGAATAAAAGGTGTATATAAATATTTAAAAGTATCTCCCCGCATAAATAAGTGCATATATACATTAAAACAGTATATATGAAGCCTCCAGTAAAGATGCTACCTTTGATAGTGAGGCAAAACCTACCACATTAACACAGATCCAACGACAGCAAGCTCTGCTCCTTCCCGCGGCAGTTAGCTATTCCGCTTACTTCACTCCAATGCAGCAAAACGCTGCTGCAAGAGAACCTGGTTTCTATGGCTATGGACCTCCGAGAAGCCCGTTAATCGGAAACGTCAGCCAGCAGGAAGACTGCAATGCAGAATTTCCAAGGGGCTGGAGACTGGCAATAAGCGACTGCCTGGCAAGTTCCCCCTGACGCCGCATTAATATTATGAGAGGATCTCACATCGGATCGATCCAACGCTTAGGGACATCAGAGTGGTAAGAGCAGAAGCTAATAAGAAATGCAGTAAAGGTGCGTGGAGCGTTACCAACCACATCAGGAACATTACAAGGGCAGTGGAAGGAACAGACCTGGGATAAGCGCATGCTGCAAGGTCTTTAATGGGAACCAAGGCAACAGGAGCCCTTTGCAAACACAGCAGAACCGGCAAATGAACGGACTTGCAAAATTCAGCAGAAAACCAGTTTCTGGCAACCCCCAAAACAAGCGTCACCAAATTCTCAGCCCACCTCCTTCATCTGCCTATCGTTTCTCAACAGTCCCTCAGAGCAAACCCATTCGAGCTCAGCTCGCCAGCCCAGCCCGTAAGCCCAACGCTACCTCGACCTTAATGATTACCTGGAGAATAATCTCTCTAGAGAACTCAAGCCGTAAGCAGATCGCAGAGAAGGATAACTGCAAATCTCCCCGCCGTTCCAGAACTACCGGTTATGTATCCATCACCGTCTAACGCTGCATGTTGAAAATTCAGATCTTCACGCAAGTATTTGCCATTTAAGAAAGGTTTTTCCCACCCATTCTGGTGATTAAAAAAAGAAAACAATACTACTACTAGTACTATGTGACCTCTGAGCCTCTAAAAACTTTACTGGAAAAAATCCGTGAACTGCGCGTGGGGACTTTCCCTGCCCTGTTGGTACATCAGGGAGCAAAAAGATGCAAAAAAACCTGGAATTCTGAAATAAACCCACAGCAAATGAACAGTAATCTACGTTGTGTTTATTGTAGATAAAGTGAATTACGAAAGCCATTACAGCCCACTATTTATTTCAATGCTTTTTCTAAACCCTATCAAATTGTAGCAGCAAATCAGAACCCCAGTTTGACTTTTGCATGTTTCCTGGCTTGATTATATAAATATTTATATAGTGAAAAAACCCACTTTGAGCTCCTCACTGAAGCCTTCTGCCCAGCAGGAAACCACTTGCAAATAACTGAGGACAAGAAACATTTAGGGAGGTTTGGGCGAGCCCAGTTTTTCCCCTGCAATGTTAATGGCAGTGGTGGCTTCAGACCCTCCTGCAGTACATTGGAGCTCATTAAATTTGTTTAAAATAGAACAAGCCATCATTAATTAACACTAATGTATATTCTGGTTTTTCCACCACAGAAACCCATCCGTTTCGCAAGAAAGGGGAAAAAATGCAACAAAATAAGAAGACCCTGTAGGAGGTGACGACCAGCTCCAGGCCGCCCTGTGCAACCTGCAGCTCTGCTCACGGATCTGCTGCACGCCCGAAAAGGCCCTCGGCCACGGTGCTGGGGCTGCTCCCTGCAGCAAAACCTGCCCCAGCTTTTCCTCCGAGGATGGAAACCGGCTCCTCTCGACGGAGCCAGCGGTGCCACCGAGAACTGGCCAAAGCCTTGGTGAGGGTCTGCATCGCCTTGCCCGGCACCGTCTAGCCCACCGCTTCTTGCCACCTCTCAGCTCACCAGCAGCTTGCTCTGGTTGGAGCTGGGTTTGAGGAAGAGGAGGAGCTGGTGGTGCTGGGGGAAGATCGGACACCTTGAGCCATCAGCTGGGCGCATTGGCTGCTGACCAGGTGTTCACCTTCCCATCCAGCACCCAGTCCCAGCATGGTTGAGAAAGCACCTTCACAAGCACCCCGTTGCAGCAATGAGCAAGACCAGAGAGGCTTCTCCATGGGAAACATGGACAGGAGCCAACCAAGGGACCAAGAGGGGCTGGAAATTGGCTGCTAGAAACGTGGCGGGTCGCTGAGGTCCAGCAACAAGTGCAGGGGACCACCGACATGCTTGTGCAGGCTTGCTGGCGCACTACGGGCTCTGACCTGACTCCGAGACACTGGCTGGGAGAGGAGAGCACTTACTGCACTTTTCCTTCCCATCCCAGCTGGAAACGAACACGGCTTCTCCCCCCCTGCACTGGGTTTATCCCTCCTGGCAGCAGCAGGTTGGTGCACCCAGGGAAACCCAGGGCTGGAAGGGATCTCCAGGAAGATCTCCTCATCCAGGACTATGCTTCTCCACCCCTGAAAGACACTCATTGAATCTCTCTGTAACAGCCACCCGCGATGGAGAGCCCACCACCCGGGGCAGACGGCTGGCAGGAACTCCTCTTCCCAGTGGCAAAGCCAAGATGGTCTTGGCACCACGCAGGGACCCTCGAGCACCTTGCTGTCTACGCACACGAGGACGGACCTTAGCCTTCTCATGACAGTGTGATTCGGCCTGTGCTTGGCTTGTGAGCATAGTTCACATCTTTTCTGGATGAATCACTCTCCAGCGGCTGCTGACAACCTTGAACCTAACGGAGAAGAAACCTTGTTGTTTTTTTCCCCAGTTTCTGGCCAAGCAGTGACTCAGCTGTCAGAGGTGAAGAACTTTTCACGCTTTATCTGAACACTCATTAACTATCCAGAGCCATAAAAAACCAGTTTCTTCAGGGCTCCCTCTCCGTAAGGCTGGGTTTCGAAGCAAGAGGGCTGGCCTGAGATTTACCGGGAGCATTCCTAAAGGTGCTCAATAAAAATAGACCTCCAGAATGTGGAAACCTGGTGCAGTTCTGGGTCACACGGCAGGGGGTTTGATCAGCAGCGAGTGAAGCTCTAGGCAGAAAAGAAAGGCAGATCCTACCCACAGCACGCAGCGAAGCCTACAGCCACTGCGTGGAAATCGTTAAGGGCAAAAAGCTTCTACCCCCGGAGCTTGCCTGACTCCTACTCCTGCCCCAGGACCTGCTCGCTTTTCATTTCTGTTCTGCTTTTTCTCCTTCTTCTTCTTCTTTCTCTGAAATCTCAGCAGCGAGGATTTCTTCATCCTCTTGTGCTGTAGCAATCACACGAATGGTGACTAAACTGTCAGAAGATTTTGAGAACACTTCTTCTCCCAGGTGGGTACGTGCTCTGTGGGAGGTGACGGGCGATCTCTGGTGCACCGGTGATTTTGGCGGGATTGGACTGAAGCTTGAATCCTGCAATCAAAAAAAAGGAAAGCAAAATCAACCTGGGGAGATCCTCATCCCCTAGCCAGGCAGGCGTCTGGGGGAGTCTCACCACCCCAGACCTAATCACCAGGATGCCAGCTTGCTGCCAAAGAGGACCCCTGTGAGAAGGGCGGCTGGCTTGCACCCAGCGCGTCCTGAGCGAAGCGCACGGGGATGAGTGCAACGAAGCTTTCCCGCGCCTCCTGCGCTAGCTTTCGTTCTGCTCCTGAAGCATCTGGAGGGGTTGATCTCGGCGAAAGCTCAGCAGAAGTGTTGTTGTGAGGGAGCAGCCCTGGACTGCCCTGTCCTGAAGCCTCCTTTAGGGAGGAGCCTCGGACACCTCGCCTATGGACATGCCACAGAGAGGGACAGTCTTCTAATGGGGTCCTGGTAACCCCGTTAGCAGGGTTAGCTCCTATTACACGCACCGTCTGATGTTGGGTCTTGTTGCCACTCCTCACCGCTGCCTTTACCCAGTTACTAATTAACGCTGAGCAGCGCAGCGCGTGAAGCCTCGCCACGCTTTTGCGCGGGGCTGCAGGAACGCGGCTGTGCTCGGTGTCTCCCCGGGTATTTACCCAGCCCCAAGGCCACCGCGCGCTCCCTATCAGCTGCTCCTTCACCTCCCTTCGCGCCTCCAGATGTGACGATAGCCTGCACAGCTCCACGCCGGGAAGAGTAACAACACGGTCTGCAGGGAGATACAACCCTTATTTTTTTTTAACGAATTCAGCAGAGGCACTTGGAAGGAAAATAAAAAGAGCGGGGCCATTTCCTTTTTCAGTTGCTCATGACAAAAAAAGCAGAGGTGGCTTCACTGCAGCTCACGCAGAGCTGGCAGGACGGCGTGCCACTGCTGGGGGCCGCAGCCCCAGCCATGCCATGAGAGCTTCGCAAACATTAACCGGGCTGTGGCTGCCAGGGTCACCCTCCGTCCATCCAGTGCATCGATTGGTGACGAATGGCCTCGTCTCTGTGGCAGGGGGGAGGAGATCGTCTGGCTACATCCCAGCTAGGAACCAGACTCAGGCTTTGCACAGCTGGGCAAAAAGTCAGCATGTTTCCTTTTTGTGTTGCAAAATAAACCCTGCGGGACAACGGCGTTCTCCCAAGGCCGTGTGTAGGATGCTGGACCACCCTGTAACGTGTGCCCACGCTACGTCAGACCCCGCCAACCTGAGCTCCCGTTTGTTAGGCACCTTAATGACAGTCTCTGGAGCTGCCTGGGGAGGGCAGCGACTCCGCACCCAAGGAAGCAAAGCCAAATTGCCATCCTCCCCCACACCGACCTGCGCTGCCTGCATCGCCTTCAGCTCCTTCAGCCTCCACCGGAGCTGCGCCAGCGGCCCTTTGCCCCCCATCCTCCCCGTGGCGGCCAGGGCAGCCTGGAAGAGCTTCGGTGTGTCCGCTTTCGGGGGGATGATCAGCGACTCGCCAGGCGCTGCCTTCTCATCTTTGGGTTTGTTGTTGTTTTTCAGCATTTTCCTACAGCAAGGAAAAGGGGAGACGATTTCAGTCCAGGGACACGTTGTATTAGCTGGATTTTATAGCGCAGAAAAATCAGACTTTAAATGGTCAGGGATTTTTCACACCTTAGGAAGGACAGAATAACAAATCTATGTAACACTAAAAATGGAAGTGAATATTTTGATTTTTAAACTCTGGCACTTTGGCCATGTTCGCCCCCGAGCTGCAGCCGCTTTTAGAGGTGAAGCTTTGCAGCGGGGCGGGCTGGCTCTGGGCACCCCCAGGGACCCACGCCCATGGCAAGGGACCTGTGGCCTCTGCGAAGTGCGGCATGGCCAGCCCGGCTCCCTCTGGGGACGTGGTCGGATGCCCGGTGCCTGCAGCAGGAGTTTTCGCAGTGCTTCACACAGCGAGAATTCTCCCCTGTGACCCCGAAACCCACACTCTGCTTTCTTTAAAACCCCACACGCACTTGGCCTTCTTACGCAGCAGCTTCTGAGACTCCGGATAATGCACCAAAATCTCGTTCAAGTCCTTCTTATCCAGAATGAAGAGGTTGGCAAAGCCATGAGCTATGACATTGGCTGTCCGGCGATTTCCCCCTCCCGCTGCCAGCAAGCTGGGAAAGATGCAGCGAGACGTTCGCGCTGTTATTAACGTAATGTTTGTAGCACAAAACCTCCCTTTGCCCACCACGTCCCCCCATCTTTCTCGTTCAGAGGACTCAAGAGTTTGATTTTCACCCCTGATGAAATTTTCCAAGCCCGGTTTTTAAAGAATGCTGGGAAATGTTGGCTTGGAGCACTAGAAGAAAAAATTCTTTGCCTGTTTGAAGGTCTAAATCTTGCACTTCAGCCTAGTGTCTGATGGGCTGTAGAGAGGCAAACGCTGTCACCCTTTTACAGATTGGTACAGGACTTTATGTGCCCGTGCAATGGGCAGATTAATGGCTGGGGGGCTGTTCTAGCGAGGCATCTTTACCCCATCCCTCCATCCACCTCTGGTGGCTGTCGCTGGCTCTGCAGGCAGAAAACAGCACGATGACAAAAATGGTGGAAAAGCTCCAAGAAAAGAAAAAAAGCTGTGGTGTGCGTAGCAGACGTTGCGCCGTGTTCGCCGCTCTCAGTCGCAAAGATCAGTCAGGGTCCCCCCGACCTCCCCACCTCCCACCCTCCGAGCCCCGAGCCCACGAGCTGTATTTCCCCGGCTCCTCACCTGATTTCTCCAAACACGGACCCAGCTTTCAGTGTCACCAGCACGGTTTTGCCGTCAGGTCCCCCCAGCACCTGCACTTGTCCCGCCTGGATGATGTACATCTCGCGGCCGATTTCTCCCTGCGATGAAGATGGGCGCCGTGCAGGGTGCCCAGAAACAGGGAGACTTTATGGATGCCCTGACCTGCACCTTGCTGGAAACCCCCCATGACCAGACCACCCTCTCCAAGCTCTCAAAACTTTTTGTCCTGACGCTGCTCACTCCCAAGCATCATCATCCAAGCATCCCAAAGTCTCTTCCTGTTTGGCAGGCTCTTCCCACCTCTCCCACTGTTCGTGGCCACAGCAGAAGAAAGAGGTCAGTCTTTGCACAAGACCAGCCATGACCGAGGAGGTTTTGGTCTGAATTCCCTCTCTGTGAAGCAGCTTGACGCCACGGTGATGGGCCAGGCTTGGCTTTCCCTGCTCTGCATCGCTCCTAGTGCCCTGCACAGTCCAGCCGTTACACTGGGGATGGGAGGCCACCCGAGCACCTCATTACCTTCTTACACACGTAGTCATTCGGCAGGTAGACCACCGATCTGAGTCGCTTCAGCATGTCGAAGATCATCTGCCTGTCGCAGCCCTGAGACGAAACAGAGCCAACAGTGCCGTGAGCCCACACCGGCGTGACAGGGTCCACCACTTGGCACCCGCGCTGCAGAGGGTACCTGGAAAAGGGCCACTTTGCTCACGATGTTGTAGTTCACGTCAA